AACGTTCATTGTTCCAAAAATACCAAGTGACCATTTTTCGTTATAATAAAAATCCCATTGGGCGATTTTTTCATTGGGTAAAATCCTACTGTATGACCAAAATAATGATAATTACAAGATGCTGGTAATTAAGTGAAAGGTCATCACCCATCATATGAGTGAAAACAGTATACAGTAGATGGTCACCAATTTCAACATTTACTTAAAAAAAAAAGAAACGTCCCACACAACCCCGCAGTGTAGTCGCGACGCCTCTACCATATAATATAAACTTTATAAGGTATTTATCTATTACAGCTTAACTTCTATGAACAGACAATATTTATTCAGCGTGTGTGAACACGGAAACGTCGATTTTTTTTCCTTTTTGCGTTCATTATTATCGAACGGACGGTCGAAAGGACGGATGGATACACAAACGGACGCACAGACGGATGCAAGGACGAATGAACGCACAGACAGATCGCCCACACATGCGGCGGGGAAAAACAATCACATCCGCCATCTCGCGCACAAGTACATTCCTGCCAAGTTTCATCAGAATTGAATTTAAAACGGAAGACTTGTCGAGCTAACAAGACTTACGACTTCACACAGGCAAGCAAGCAGGCAGGGCTGGGCGGGGCAGGCAAACGGACAGAGAAACAGACAGACAGGCCCGGGAGATCGGCTGAAATGACAGACATCAAGATGACGCTGGGCTCATTCTTGTCACAGTCTCGTGTTGACAGACTGAGTCATTTCACCATCTCTCAACGGATCAACCAGTACTGTATGTCTGTGTCTGCGTGTCTGTGTGTCAGCGTTGCTATATGTTAATAGTGCCACAGTAATTATTTCATGTGTCAGATGTGTCATGTTTGTGATCTCTCTCTCTCTCTCTCTCTCTCTCACACACACACATACACACACACACACACACACACACACTATGTAACTAACCTTATATAATGGTGAAATAAGAAATATATGTTCCCACCTGTAAAATATCCAAAGTGAATACCGAAAAAGTAAACTACATATAATTAATTAATCTCGTACTGATATTTAGCACAAGACCAACAATGAATCATTACCTAAACTCTGACTCGTATCTTCTACAGTAATTGGCATCATAACATAACTGTGAGGAACCCGGAGACATCACCTTACAGTACTTCATGGTAGAGAAATTCTATATTGACTTTCTCGATACGTTGGTAATAATACATTGAGCCATTAAAAATATTCTTTTTGCATTATGAGGGAATTGTTTGATTAGAATTTGTTAATAAAAGATTGTAAATTAGTTTCAAATATATTATACGAGTAAGAAATATCGGACAACTAGTACAAATGGGACTCATATTTACATAATATATAACGAGAAGAAAATATCCATCACTCCTAGTTGTGAATCCCCAAAAATTAGTTTAGAATAATATATGTTTACCAAATAACTTTCACAGTATGAATAATAATTAATTTCCCCCCTCTTGCTGTTGGCAGGATTAAGCTAGCATGTCTATAATTAATGCAATTTAATTCTAACCTAAAAACCTGTCCTTTGACACACATTATATTAGCAGCGTAATATTCACTTGGATTGAATTTTGCCTCCAGTGTACCCCACCCACTCAAGCCAGCCTCAGGAGATAACATTCTTGTAGTACTGACAACCTGGATCATTGTGAATGTGTGTTACGTGAGACCATTGGGGGGCTGGAGCTGCTACTACTACTACTACTAAATGAATCTCAATCCTCCCAGGGCCCCAGTCGTCCTAACCTAGCAGTCTGTTCTAAAACACAGTCCAAATGAGCCCCATTCACAAGGGTTAGGTTAGGTTACGTTAGGTTACGTTAGGTTACGTTAGGTTACGTTAGGTTTTGAGCCTTTTAAAACACGGTCCATACATCTACTCTTCCCTCCACCCAAACATTGTAACTTAAAATATTCATTGACTGACCGATATCAGTTTAGGCGTCAAAATACTCAATCAAGTTTTTACCACACGATGGGAACTCCCGACAGCAAACAATAATTAGTAAATAAGAGAAGACGATGAAACTAAATGATTGGTGACTTCGAGGTGATTTGATCCCCACCCATAACCACACCCACACATATAACCACCACACCCACACACATAACCATACCCAAACCCATAACCATACCCACACATATAACCACACCCACACACATAACCACACCCACACACATAACCACAGTGTGATTAGTCTAGTAAATTTTGTTGTTACTTTTCTGTTCTTGTGTAAACGGTTCTGAAAGATTTTTTTTCTGTTGATGAAACTCTGTGTCTGTGCGAGTCTTTGTCGACTATATAGTTAAGAGGACTCATACTAGAAAAGACCCAGTTTGTACTAAAATCATTTTCATTTTAGAGTCTTACTTCTCTCTGTAGGTTAACCCCTCACTATAGAGTTGAGTTGATCTGTAAGGGGAAGCAGGAAGACACTTGTATATGTTGAAGATAATCCACAGGAAGACAGGGAAGAGATATTCAGTGGTGTCCTTCAATCCATACTTTTACATTTTGGTCCTTTTTAAGTTATATGTCAGTGAAAGGAGTCATAACAGAGGTTTAAAGGGGTCATAACAGAGGTTTAAAGGAGTCGCCATAGAGTTTTGGAAACACCTGTGTTTATAAGTGAGTACAGGTGGCACTTACAGTACGCCCATGGACCGAAATATTGTCATGCCATTTTAAATAAGGACAGGAATTCGGCTGTGTTGGGGAAACATAAGTCCCTCCCAGCACAGCAAAATATTTAAAGGTCTTGAAGTTCAGGGATTAAAAGTGGAAAGACACACACACACACTGAGGACAGGTGACGGTGACGGTGACGGCGAGGCAGTAACAGGAAGAGGAACAACACACGTGGCGGTAAACACTCAGCTGTTTAAGACTACTGAACAAACTCTGAAACTTAACAGAACAACAACAGCGACGAAGATCAAAGCGAGACTCCACGACGTTGACACTGGCTCTCAGTTGTTTCTCAACAGGCGAGGTAAAGAAAATAAAGTTTTTTTTCTTCTGATAACATATATATACGTAAGAATATTTCAGTTAAAAGATGCCTAATTATTACCAGCTGCCAGGCAGGAACATAATGAATCTTTCGTCTTGATAGACTAATATTTACGCAAGTCGCTACACAAAGGAGACAAATTACTGGAAAATTGTTTCCACATATTCTTATAACAAGCCAAGCCAACATCGTGGTAGTTGTACGCCCTTAACCAAGACCAGCAACTGCTCTACTCAAGACTCATCTTGAATATTTCCATTTCATATTTAATCTTATAAGGCTCACGTCTCTGCTACCTGGATTAGGGTAACTGAGTACAGTGAGCCTGAGCTCCAGATATTAACACTGGATCATATATGAGCGTTTTATCCTTCGTCGGGGTGTGGTGATCCTACATTACAGTGCATAATACTGACGTTATTTCTATAAGGACAAACAGGTTTATTATTTAACTTGTATCTGCAGTATGCCATCCTAGTAAATTTCACTCCCAGATTTTAAGATTTGCGACTTCATCCTTTTGTCTCTAACCTGTATAAGCCTGACACAGTCCCCTGTTCTGCTGGATAACTTCGTTACGTCCGACTTATCAACTTTCAGGTTAATTCCGTTTCTCTCCACTACATCATTCTATCTCTCTCTCTATCTCTCATACGGTATCATTTCCTTTGAAGCGAGTGCAACATCATCTACATAGCCAAGAGTTACATCCCTGTCATCAATTAAACCTTGTAACTCTCTAACATTAGTTCTTAAGTATTTTCTAAAATCCTTTAATACGTCTCCACGATGGAAGGGGGGAGATCAGAATATAACGTTCTCCCTATTAGTCAGTTACTCGGGAGAGGCATTACACGCAGGCAATAACAGGATATCAACACTCGTCTGTTTGAGGCTGACCAACAAGTGCCGACGCTAAGGTTAAGGACAATGACTACATATAACGCCACGTCCAATATTTCCTGTTCATCCCTCTTGCTCGGAGCAGCCATTGGTGTAATAACTGCCTCTATTAATAAGTTTCCCCAAAATTTACTTGTAATTTCTTCACTCATAAACCTGCGGGACTCAGGATTGGATCCCAGTGTAGATCCAACAGGGGGCCCTAAGGGGAGGACCTCAGTTGGGGTTCCCAGAAGGGGACCTCAGCTGGGGCTCCCAGAGGGGACCTAAGTTGGGGCTCCCAGAGGGGGGGCTCAGTTGGGGTTCCCAGAAGGGAACCTTAGCTGGAGCTCCCAGAGGGGACCTCAGCTGGGGCTCCTAGAGGGGAACCTCAGCTGGGGTTCCCAGAGGGGAGCCTCAGCTGGGGGTCCCAGAGGGGACCTCAGTTGGGGCTCCCAGAGGGGGTCCTACTTGTATGATCCCAGTGGAGGGTGAAGGGTAGAGAAGGCTGGAGCAAAATTTCTCTTAGACGATCAATTATTGAGACACTCGGTGAAGGTGGTCATTGAGCAGCCATAAGGAAGCTAAACATAAAGTAAATATATACAGTATATTCATTAGAGAATCTTGGCGGTGGACCAGTGGCCATCAGCAAACAACAGGTGGTGGTGGTGGTCGCTGGTCTACACACCACACAGTACCGCCTTATACACACTGAACACTGACTCCTTGTTATCACAGATGTAACTGCTGAACTAAGATGTTTAATATAATATTAACCAAAACTACAAAACAAATATCAAAAAGTACATGATTTTGTTTTTTTACGGGGTCGTGTTGGTGAGACATAATACAGTACATCAACACAATAGCACAAGAGAATAAATAACTAGTCGATCGAGTGTAACTTCTGACTGGGTAATATGACCCCTAACCTACGTCGATTCTTCTTCCAGAATATACCTATATAAAGTAAGTATGATCGTATGGCCGGCAGCGATGGTAGATACGTCAGGCAGGGGTGCGCAGCTGAGGTCCATCGAAAAGTTAGAGAAGGTAGTAGCGTCAGTCGGGCTTCGTGACTGGAGAGGAAGTGTACAGTGTCCTCCCGCGCCGTGGTACATGAGACCCTGGCGTAAAATATTCCTGTAGCCTCCTGAAGCCACTGCGGCGTCGTGAACTAATATAATATATTTTTCGAGAATCTAGTACATATCACTATAAGATCTCGTATCATAATGTTTAGAATAACGTAAAAAAAAAAGACTTTAGATTACGATATTTACAACCATACTGTAGTTTACTGTGCGTCTTGAGGTAACCAAACTGTGTTAGTAGGACTGGTTGCTTGTAGTTACGCCTCACGCTGTAACTGTAATAAAACTTGGACTTTCTTTAGTGAACTTTGAAAGGTGTTCCATTATTCCTACTCAAATGTTATTATTTGGGTTATTCTTCTGAAGGTGGACTTAACGATTGGTAAGTACTATTGTGTATGTGTCTCTCTCTCTCTCTCTCTCTCTCTCTCTCTCTTTCTCTCTCTCTCTCTCTCGTTCCATGTACTCCTTCAAAAGAAAAAAAGAATATGAGTGCCAGGACAAACTATGCATATCCTTCAAGTTGTTACAAATACTGCGGCTTTTCGTAGGAATTTTTTTACAACTATATGAGAATTGTTCAGAATTTAATTTAAGACAATTTGAAGTTTCTGGATTTTATTTAAGATTAGATTTTTTCTTTTACAAATATAAAATGTTTTTTCGTGGGGGAGGAGTTTATAAATATGCGGATAATTTTGAAGTTTATTACCTTCTTTTTTTTCAAATTATACAGGGTTGTCTTACCCGTCTATGGTTAATGTTTGGGACTTACTTCAACGCTTCTTATTTGAGTAATGATGAAAATCTTGGCTTACTGTGTCAGAATAATTCAATGTCTCAATCGCGTGGTGTCATGGCTATAATTAAACGCTTGTGGGTAAGCTTATTGGGTTTACAGACGTCAGGTCCTATTTTGTGAGCCTTAAGCAAGTGACAAGTGTAATCCTACTCACTCCTGCGAAGGGGGGGCCCCTGGTTCGATCCCTTAGTCGGAGTGGTGAACGGGTGCCTTCACTAGACCTTGCACCCCAGCGGTAAATAAACACACAATTGGCTTGGATTGTCAATGGTGTAGTAATCCTTCGGTGGACTATAGGAATGGAGTAACAACCCACTACCTGAAATATATTGAGACTACTGAAATTAGCACCTGTCTTGAGGCGTCATTTAGTTAACCAGAAATTCAGTAATAGTAAAAAACACGAGACGAATCATAGGATCGGAACCTAACCTAACCTAAGGTAAGATTAGGGTAGGCTCTAACTGGTAGTTTGTTTTAATTGGTTTCATCTATAAGGATTATTTTCACCGTTTAATATAACTTTTTTTTGGGGTGGGTGGGGGGGGGGTGGATTAAATTTTGTTTGATTAAGTAGCTAAGTTATATTACATTATGTTTGGATGAAATATACGGAGTTTAGTCTTCTTCGTCTCGACTCTATGTTATTATTTATTTTTATTTTATGATGATGATGATGATGATGATGATGATGATGATGATGACGATGATATGTCAGAGATATTAGTTACCTTTTCAACATCACCTTCTTGTTTAACCTAATCTACTCATTCCTACTAAACTCTTCTCAATTTATTCCCACATTATCAAGATTTTTTTCCTTATACTCTACCACATTTTCTTCCACGTATAAAGAAGCTTCCAATTATCTGTCCTTTTTTAATTCCCTCTGTGTCCGATTGCTGCTTAAAACTCTACCACCTCCACGCATCTTTATTAATGTCAACCAAAATATTTATAAGACTTTGTATCTACCATCTCTCCCTCACATTACTTTCATTTACTATTTCCATTACTGTTGTTTTTGTAATATTCAATGATAGTTATTTCTTTATCTTAGTATTGGTGATGGTTTGATATATATATATATAAACTCTTCTTTAATCTCAAAGTCTTCGTGCCTATTATTTAGTGTCTTATTCTCTTGTGTTCTTTTATAATTCTTCCTTCGTCTTATGTCTAATTTCGTCTAATATTTGTACGATACATATACAGTATAATGAACATTGGTATAGTACCTGAGTATAATTATTTTAATGGTATAATCAATGAAACGGTGAATACAATGCAACATAACACTACATCATAACGTAACAACACGACACAACATAACATAACACATACATACATACATACATACATACATACCTCTTCTCTGTGACACATATTACGTTCATCATACATACATACACACAGTACATCCATGGCGACATCGGTATATACCCAGACCAGACATATAATTGACAATCTGTATATATACCTGTGGCCTCACCTCTATTCATAAGAACAGAAGAACATAAGAAAATAAGGAGTCTGCAATAGGCCGGTTGGCCTGTGCATGGCAGCTCCTGTCGAGAGTTACTACCACTCTCCATCATCCATGAATCTATCCAGTTTCCTTTTGAAACTTTCCAGCGTTCCAACACTGACTACAAAGTTGCTAAGCTTGTTCCACTCGTCCACCACCCTATTTGTGAACCAGTTTCTTCCTATCTCACTCCTAAACCTAAACTTATCCAACTTGAATCCGTTGCTCCGAGTCCTATCCTGCTCGGATATTATAAGAACTTTATCTATATCCCCTTTATTGATTCCTTTCACCCAGTTAAATACTTCTATCATATCTCCCCGCACTCTTCGTCTTTCTAGGGAATGCAAGTTAAGTTTCTTTAACCTATCCTGATATGGAAGGTTTCTAAGTCCCTGAATCATTTTTGTCATTCTTCGCTGCACCGACTCTAGTGAATTTATATCCATTCTATAATAAGGGCACCAGAACTGAACCGCATAATCGAGATGCGGCCTAACTAGCGCAAGATATAGAGATATAGTTGCAATAAGACCTCTGCACTCTTGTTACTTACACTTCTAGATATAAAACCCAATACTCTGTTTGCCTTATTTCGAACATTAACGCACTGTTTTCTAGGCCGTAGGTCCGGGCTTACAAGTACCCCTAGGTCTCTTTCACAAGTCGACTTCTCTAGGTTGATGTTGTTAAGGCTGTATACATTATAAGTATTTGTTCTTCCAATATTAAGTACGCTGTATATATACCTGTGGCCTCACCTCTATTGTTGGTCTTGTCACCGATGCCTGGTGTGTTATGCTGACCCCACGTTATATGCCGTTCATAATACTATTCTAAGGTGCTTCAGTATTTAGGTTCTTTAAGTAACGTTCATAATCTTAGTTCATATACTATTTACTATATAATTTATGAGATATTTTTATTTTTGGTCCATTTTTTTTTGGGGGGGGGGGGACGACTCATTGCTGTTTCATGTATAAAATGTATATACTGATCTAAAATTTGCACACGAGGACTGATAGTGTTTTGCTCCAGGGTAACAAGAGACACGGGGTTCTACATACAGAAAGGTAATAGTGGGCTTGGTGTAACAACTGTGTGTCCTACCATGGTGTACTTAGTGATTATTTATACTAATACACGACACTTTTCCTAGTGGTCTTATACTTATCCTCACTAAACACTTTACATAGACAGTGTTTTTCTTACATATTAAACTTTATGTAGACACGAGACACTTATAGGTATATGTTATTCTCTCTCCACCTTATAACTGTTAGACACATGTATGACACCTTCTGACACATAGCTGTAGTCCCAAATGTGTCCCAGTCCCACTTGACCCCAAATATGTATCGTGATTCATTTAATAAGAGAAAAAGACTCCCGATTTTAAATGCATTAAATAATTTTCTCCGCCGATTTAAAAATTGGTTAAGTAAATTAATATCTATTTCAGTAGACCAACATCCCGCTAAGGATGGTTGGCGTGAATAAGAACACAAGAAAATAAGGAGTCTGCAATAGGCCGGTTGGCCTGTGCATGGCAGCTCCTGTCGAGAGTTACTACCACTCTCCATCATCCATGAATCTATCCAGTTTCCTTTTGAAACTTTCCAGCGTTCCAACACTTACTACATATATTCCGATTGAAAAACCTGCAACCTGACAGAAGTATTAATGAGACACACAAAATATTTTTCTCCTAACATCCACTTGGCTATTGTCTTAGGTGCTCTTGACAGCTTGAATCATTTATACTTGTTTTATAAGATCCCCGAGGCCAGAGACATGGCTGACGAGTAAAATATTAAGCGGAGTCCTTCACGCCTTTCGTGTTTACGGTGAAATTTTTATCAACAACATTTCTCGTCAACCAGGTTATTGAAGTGTTTCTTTTTTGAGATCTTCCGTCGGTGTAGTCGTTTTCTGCCCCGAAGGCGTTACTTATCTACCCGGTACTTCCTCTTCAAAACTAAATTCTTACAAGTAGAACTTTTAAATTACAATGGTTCCTGGCACTTTTACTAGATGAGTTGGAGGTTATTAGTCCCTAGACCTAAGATTCTGAACCTTTTTTCGGCCGGTGTACAGTTGTCTCCACTCCCGCGTTTATCACTTAGTGTTGCCAATTCTCTCTCTCCCGAAGGTGTGAACCCAGAACTCTGAAGTTTGAATTCGTAGCATTATTTAGTGAGCGGGAAGGAGAAGCGAGGGGTATGTCGGGGTAGGTGTCGTCCTAGGGGTAGACAGGACACCAGGGATAAGGCGCCTCGTGTCCCCTCTCAATAGTAGTAGTAGTAAGTCACTTGCAGGATATGATACATTATACTGTAAGGCCAATATACTTTTGGCTCCTCGAAATGCATCTCATGCCCCCCCGATGAGGCTTCACCTTCCCCCTTGTGGCATTTTCGAGCAGGACTTTCTGATTACCATGACGTATCTTCAGAGAAAAACGTGTAGTAGAACCTGAAGTATGATCGACACAACCTATTCTAGTCAACAGTCTTAATGAAGTCTAATATATTCATGAGCACTGTACACCGGGCAGTCTGGTCTGGTGTCTGGTCTGGTCTGGTCTAGTGTCTGGTCTAGTCTGGTCTAGTGTCTGGTCTGGTCGTCAAACATGGGGACCTTCTACACGTTATTAGAAAAGTGAATACCCGCCAGAAATAATGAGGAAGTGTCGTGTGTGTCTTGTAGAATATTACGGGAATAAGACTGAATACGCCAGGAGGGAAGGGAAGCAGGAACGGAGACGAAGAGAAAAAAGAAGGAACAAAGAGGAAAGAATGAAGAGGAACAGAGATATACAGAGAACATGGGAGGAGGAACAGGAAAAGAGAATTAAGGAAAATATATCAGTCTTACTTCCTTCTTACTTATCACATTTTTGTTTTTATTTCACTATGACATTTCATTTCTCGATATAAAATGATGATTCATCATTTTTCTTGTCTCTTCTCTTATATATTTCAGTTCAAAATATTTTCCTCTTCATCCTTCGGTATCCCATTTTAGTCCATTTCTTTACCCTTTCTTTTTA